GATTAAAATGTATTAAGCTCTTAATTTTAGTCAAAAATTTCTCGGAACCTGATTTTCCTAGAAACACTCCCATATACACAAGTAAGGTAGAACCTTCGGTGGTTGTCTTAGTGTTTTCATACAAATCAAACTGTTATTAATACTTTCTATATAATTTCGTAAACTAATCCTTTCTGTCTTCGAATAGAGAAAGGTGTAATCGAAATATATATCGAGGAAGGGTCCCTTGATTTTAGATCTGGTAATTTATGGTGTAACAATTTGATCGATCATGTGATCATATGATAAGATGTTACAACTGAACGAAAATTTTGACGGATCGTAAATTTAAAAAAATACTTTCTTTTTATTCATATTTCGAAAATTTTAAATTTTTAAATTGTCGATGTAATGGCCGATCCTGCAAATGATTTTAAATCATTGCTTTTGAGTACTATAGAGGCTCGTGAGAAAACAGAGCAGGTATTCTAACCTTTTTATATTCATATTTTATAATGTATAGGAATTTTATAAAAAATTTACACGAAATTTATTTTTAATAAGGAATCAAGTCAACCAGTTCCATTAGAGGGTTTATTTAATGGGTATTTCTTTAAATTTATAAGGAGTTCTGATTTCAAATAATCATAAAAATTAATATATCATTCAAAAATAGTATTTTTGATCCGCCAGTGAAAAAATTAAAAAAAGAGAAAACATGCATAAACTTCGAAGGACTGGAATTGGAACAATCTGATACAATTACAAAATTAGTTAGAGAGTTTTTTAGAGCGTCTTTGGCTATTGGGAATATGGTATATATAAATCATGATAAATTATATAATCTAGAGAAATAATATCTTCCAACTTTCTAACGTAATTAGGGCGAGGTTATAAATGAAATTATCGGATTACTTAATCAACCGTCGTGGCAACGTGTTTGCCTTATTTTGTCATTATTTGGGGCTTTAATAACAGACTCACCTACCACATATGGAATGTTACTGGGTCTTGGTGGTGACATTACCCAATCCTCATCACTTCTTCTACCAGCCCCTTCAATCACCATTCCAACAATTTTTGAATACCTTACATCAATAACTGTTATTTCTAGTCCAGAATTATGGAATGGAATTCTGTCTTTTATGGTTATAATTATTCAACAATATCCGCATGCTATTCTTGAAATTCCTTCTTCCTTGGCTGCAGACATTGTAAAAAACATTTTAAAGCAAATTAATTTGCTTAATGATAATCTTACAAGTATTGAACTTGAGTGTGTAGAAAAGGGAAAAGAAGTTATAGATACACTTTTAGTTGGAAAAGATTGTGGGGGAGTGGGTTGTGTCTCACATTATCACATTATCGAACAGGTGAAATATTTTGATTAGTAACAAAAAATAAAATATTTCACAATATTAATTTTATTTTCCGAAAGTTACAAGAAATATATGGACCACCTGTGAGAGGACAATTTATAAAAGTTCATTGGACAATGGAACGGTTTATTAACGAATTATCACTTCGACGAAAACGTCTTGCTTTCTTAATGATGCCACCTGGTATTTGTCATATCCGGTTTAATTCATGGTTTGATCTATTTTGTTTAAGGATTAATTTTTACTTTTTCTTAGATGCTGCATGGCCTTTGATTTCACAATATAGGTTTATTATAACATTATAATATATATTATAAAAAAATTTTATTTTGAACCTTAATTATTAATTTAACTTAATTGATAGTCGATCTCATGAATATATTGATTTGGCAAAATTAGATAGTTATCGTCCATTCCAATGCGATTACGTAAGTTTATTATTACTTTTAGGATATTTATGTTCTCGTTTTATATGTATCAATTCATATTTATGTATATAGGAACAATTCATCGAAGAAGGTCAAGCCACAAGTTATGCTTCAAGATTCCGAGACTTGTTTTTCCAACGTGCTCCTATCGAAGAAGTTGAGACAATGATTAAATCAATGAAATTAACATCTGTTGGATTGGAACCTGTACGAGATGCTCTTTTTACTAAAGTCCATGATGTTATTAAGTTAGTTCAAAGTCATTCAAATTTTAACGAGTATATGCGAGGTTTGTGAATTTTGACAATTGTATTTTTTTATTTCCTTATATATTTTTATTTGTAACTCATCAGAAAATTATTTCATGACGAACAATTAGGAACTCCAAATGAAGAATTGTATAATGATATATTGATTCCTGGAGATTTAGATTTTTGGGAGCTTATTATTGAACTCGGAGATCAGTTGTATGGTTTGGTTGCCTACGAGTGCGTATTAAATCTTTTCTTAATGCTTGTAATGTCTTATGTTATGTATTATTTGCTAATTAATTGATTTTTAATATTTAGGTACATTAAATATGAGGAAGTTTTGTTAGAATTTTATCACATGGTTTATCCTAAAAGCGGCGAGAACGTTATAAGTCGTCGCAACACTCTACCCAAAGATAATACATTAATTTGGTTACTGATACAGCTTTTTCGTATCCTTTAATGAATGAAATTTATTTCTTTATATTACAAAATTTACTTGATCTTGATTTCTTAATTCAATTTCTAACATTAGCTATCGAAAAGGTCAAAAGTCAAATTATTGCCCAAGATCTTTCTAATGATGAAAGTTTGTTCAGCATGCTGATTCAATTATATAATGACCGACAAGTTATGTCAAAAGATGCATTTTATTTAAGGGATTTGTCTTTGCAATGTGCAGTAAGTTTTCTATTACTTCTGTCCTAAAATTGATATGTTAGAAATTCATCCTTCTATTCTGACTTTTTCGTATTTATATACGAAGATGCATCATCAACATAATGCACTAAAAGAAAGAAGTAACTTAAAATACAGACATCCTCAACTTGTTGGTGCTTTAGCTTACAGTCCAATGATTCGTAATTTACAGATGTATTTCCTTAAAGTATATAAAGGTATTTGTATGATTTTCCTTCTATTATCCCCTTCTTATTCATTTCTAAAATTTATAATTCAATTTTTAGAGAATGTCACAAAACATGATCTTTTTAAAAATCTGCCTATACAAGAAATTATAAAGATTGCTATTCTAAGTCAACTTATTATGGTTGCTGATACTTTATATGTACACTTGGTTCCTGATAAATTAATGAATGTGGATAAACTTGGATTTCCAGAAGCAAAATTTCTACAAGGCGGAAGTGTTAGTCACAAGTTATTGGATTTTATTAATATTCATAACAAGAACAGGTAATTAGGATATATTTAAGTATTATCCCTTGGTTAGCGTTAATAATATTCAAATTTCTGTTTTCGTAGACTTGAGCAACTTATTTATAAAATGATGCTTTACGGATCACATGAACCGTCGTTCAATTTTGACGCCAAGGATCATAATATAACTTGTATATCTCCTTATACTTTGGATGTAGTTTATAAAATTGTATATAGTGCTCCCTGGTCGTAAGTAATTTTGATACATAAAGTCGTTTTTTCTAACACTTCTGAGATGATGATTTTTTAATTTTTATTTAATTAGGCTTGAACAGATGATTAAGGATATTTTTGCAAAGTTTAAGAGAATTGACAAATCATTAAAGACGCATACGGAAGGAAATGCTTCAATGGTGTCAGAATACTCTTACAGATGGCAGCATACTATTATGCAGTTTTTGTGTCATCGACTACTTCGATTCTTGAAATATTCTTCCAAAGCTCCTGATCTTTTACATCACATCAAATATTCAGTATCTTATTTGGATCACCGGCAAACCTATCGTGATGTTGAAATGTTTGCTATACATGTTATGGTAAATTATATTTTTATTAAAGATATATTAATCTTTTATTAAATTATTGATGATATTTTATTTTTTAGATGATACAAACAGATGTCAAGTTCATAAGATCTATTGCTGATCCAAATCGGGATAAACCTATCTGGTTCCCTGAATCTGAATTATTGGCGAGATACATGATTTTCACTTTGGCTAGGTTAATTAAATTTAGAGGACTTGATGATATCTCACCTGAATTGATTCAGGGAATCCTTACAAGTATTTATCCCGATAGTTTAGAATGGTCTGCCACCACTTTAAGTTATTTCCCTGAACCTTTACGAATTTTCTTTTCACAACAACAAGAGAAGATGAAGGGAACTTTTCCTTCTATTTCCGATAAAGATGTAAGCAAAGTGGTTTGATATATTTTTGTTAAGTTCATTTATAATTATAATTCTAACATTTCCTTCTTTACTTAACAGATGGATTCTGCTTTAAAAATAGGGAATTTGTTTAAATTATTTATGGGAGCTCTTACTTCAGAAGATGAGACTATGTTACAGGAACATTATTCGAAACTTGAAAACCAATCAATATTTTTGTGTTCTTTATGGAAAATTGGATGCTATAGAAAAAGTTTGAACCCTGATATGATGAGCAGTAATTATCATTTATTATTTCTATATAGAATATTTTTTGATTTACGTTTAATAACAATTACATTATTATTTATTCAGCCTTAAGAAAGGTGTTGTTACAATTTCCGCCTTCTAGAATGGCTACATATACAGTCGTATTGGTTGATTTTATTATTGAAAAGATAGAAAATGATATTAGTGGACCTCCCGTCGAAGTGGTAAGGAAAGTTAATAACTTTTTAATTTATTAAAAATTAATATAGTATTCGATTTTATTAAATCTTTTTAAAAAAAACGCTCTCCTTAAAAGTGTTATAAAATGCTTGAAGAATTGATATGGAGATATCAGATACTCGCATTTGAGCATGTTCTATTTGCACTTGTAAGAGGACAGAGAGAAAATAATAGTGTAGTATTGGGAATATTAGATTATCTCCTATTCGAATCTGAAGGATATTCGGAAAGAGTTCATTATTTCTTATCATTGAAATTTAATCATAGATATTGGGTTGAAGATGATCATCATGAAAAACTTATGGAATATCTTAAGAGATATCCTGAATATTTTCAATACGAAGCATATGCAATGGATGGAATAGGATATACAGACGGATATGAAACTGCCGCTAAGAAATTAGACCCACCGTTGAAAGCTATAAATATGCCAATATATTATACTAGTTCTATAAGAAAATCTTTGCCTATATTAGATCTAGTTGTTGGAAGATTTATTGAATTTGGTGAAACAGCCAAATTAGTGAAATTGTTGGATGAGTTTGGTCAACTTTATAGGTTTCATCAGACACCTTTAGCTTTTGTGAGAGATTTATTGTGTTACTATTATTCTGCACCTACTATTCGAGATCCAATAATTTGCTCAAAATTAATCAAATTATTAGGTAAATCTTATAATATCAAAGTAAAATCAATTTCTTTTTTACAAGAATTATTAATTAAGATATTTTTTTTTTAATTTAAAAAAAGATTTTGACGAGTACGATTTTGTAGCCGAATTATTACAATATGAAGGAAATGTCATCTTTGAACTTTCATACTTTGAAAAGGTTTTCCATAAATTAGCTGACAGTAAGTTAAATTTTACACCTTTATTTACGATTAAACGTGAATTAAAATGATCAATTTATTTAAAGATATGGATCCGCAAAAGTGTGCACCGAAAGCAAATACCAAATTTCCGGAAAGACATTTTCAAGAAATTCCAAACCCGGTGGTTCAAGCTTTACATATTGCGTGTGTTGAAATATTAGCAATACCCACCAGTCCACATGACATCATCAAAGCAACTTTAGATATTATTTTAATGAATGGAAAGAACGTTGCAGTACAACCTATGGTATTACATGCCATTGGATTATTGTATTCATTCTTACCTACTGAAGAATTTGTATATAAAATGTTTGATGAGATGTTGATATTAATTCAAGAAGATCCCCATCTTGGAGAATTTTCTCAACCTTGTAATATGGTAAGATATATCATATTCTTATTATTCATATTCTTAATTGACATTCTTGCTAACTAATTTACTTCTCAGACTGGCCGTGATACAAAAGATCCATCAATAGATCCTTTAATACAACAATTATTATCTCATTCAACACCATTTTCAACAATGTTTCCATATATTTTTAATGACTACAAATCTAATCTGCTTAATTTCGGAACTAATGCAGCTAATAGTTTTCTAACATTCATACACGGCCTGTTACATTATTCAAATATTGAAGTCGTTGAAAAGTTCTTCGCCAAACTCATATTGTTAAGAGGATTAATTAAAACGGATATTCAGTTACTTTATTTATGTGCATTAGTTGGACCATTAATGTATAGATTTGAACACGACCCTTTATTTATTTCGGTGAGCGATTGGCATTGTAAAGGTTAAATGAACCATTGAAATTATTGCAATTTTTATTTACTAATTTTTCTTCTTTTGATTAAGTTTTTACGAAACTTTGCACAAATGTTAAATGAAGTAACTATAAACATGAAAATAGAAGATTATGGAGACAGTACTTTAGCTTTGGAACAAGTTTACGACTTTTTGTATCTTTTTATTATCATGAATTGTCATAATGGATTGATTTCATTTATGAAATTTTTTTTTTTTATGTTCGTCCTTAACTGAATTTCGACTTATTCTATAGGCACTATGTTAAACCTATCATTTTAAATTATGCACTTAGTGAAGTATTTATGGCCAAATTACATGTACAGACTAGGTTAATAGGATACCGAGTATAAATAATATGTTTGCATCAACGAGCATATCATTAATCACAAATTATTTGCTAAACGATAATATCGATTAAACTTTTGAAGAATTTTTTTAAAGAAAAAAGATTTTTTTTTTTCTTGTAAATAAAAGGATTTTAATCAATATCATTTTGTTCCTATAAATTTTCATGTAGGAATTTTCCAGATTTTTATTCTGTGGCTAAGATAGGTAGTTTCTTAGAAAAAATTGCCCCATCAATACTATTGCAAGTTTTGACTTGTTTTGTGTTTTATTGTAATTTTTTTTTTTTTTGGTACGAAACGCACTTCATTGTTAATTTACAAGATTGGTTGTTATTGATAGAAAAGTCAAAAAAAAAAAAAAAAAAATACGCGCCATTCTTAATAAATACGCTTTTTTTAATGTAATAAGTCACTAAGCCAAGATAAAATACATAATGATATGAAATAATCCTTAATAGAGCAAATGATTAGTTTAATCCAAGCCTTAATAAGCCGTATTTCCAAGGGTTGATAGAAACATTTTGTTTTCTAATGTCAAAACTCAAAATTTTTATTATCTAATTCTCTGGCACTTTTTTTTTAATTTTCTAAGCCAGAAAAAAAAAATAATAAGCCGGATGGAAGTTTCTATTTTTAAAAAAACTTTTCGATAAAAAGAATGATTTATCTTTTTTTTTCTTTTGCCAAATTATACTGTTAAAAGCCTAGAATTTCAAAAAACAAAGTCGTACGTGGCAATTTAAATGAACTACGCCACGATCGTCGGAAATTTTATTTCATTTATAAATAGTTTGCACATAAAATCATTTCGATAATGAAAGTACCATTGATCCTTTCCCAAAAAAAGCTGAAAAACACGATCCTTATAAATAACCACCATTTTTGACTTAATTAATTTACATCAGATATTATTTTACAAAAAATATCCTCCACCAAAATGGGTTCATCAACTCCTTCAGCGTATTTTGCTCGATGTACGGTTGAGAAAACCCTTTCCGAACTTCACACAAATACCGAAACTGGACTTACTACAAGCGAAGCTCTTTATAAACAAAAAACTTGTGGTTATAACGAATTTGAAGTCGAAGATGGCGAATCAGTCATTATTAAATTCTTCAAACAATTTATAGAGAACCCACTTATCTTATTACTTCTTGGTTCGGCAGCTATTTCCTTAGTGATGGGAAACCGTAACGACGCCTTTTCTGTACTTTTAGTAGGTTTCCGATTTATTTTAATGTTTTAAATTTTAATGTTTTTAACTACTTTTTAAATATTTATTAACTTCCAGTATACGATTTAACTTATATTAATTCATTAGGCGGTATTAATTGTCACAACAGGTATTTCCTTCCCCGATTATTATTTTGATTATTATTATTATTTTAAAAAGTCGGCGTTATATGTTGTTAAACTAAAAAAAAAAAAATTATTTTTAGTTGGTTTTGTACAAGAGTATCGGTCTGAAAAGTCATTGGAAGCACTTAATAAACTAGTCCCCCATTTCTGTCATCTGAATCGGTAAGCATAATTTTTTAATTTTTCATTTTAATTCGATTTGGTTACAACTTTTTTTAAAAATTTATAAATTTCATCAGTGATAACTCGTGGACTACTACTTCGGCAACTGTTTTGGTACCAGGTGACTTGGTTCGCTTCGGTATCGGAGACAGAATTCCCGCCGATGTTCGGATAATTTCCGTAATTACAATTATATTATATATTCATATCATTTATAAACTTCTTTTAATAAATTAAATTTAATCGCTTTAGGCTACAAGTTTGGAAATCGATGAATCTAATTTGACTGGTGAAGCCAAATCACGTTCAAAAATAACAGAAATGATTCCTTTTGATAATGGTCATGGCGAGTTAACAATACAGGAGCGAAGAAATATTGCATTCATGGGAACTCTTGTCAGAAATGGTTAGGTTATTTTTGTATTATTCTAAGATTTTAGTGAATTTGGTTTTATTTACATCAGATCATTGTTTTAATCTAGGACACGGACAGGGTATAGTTGTTGGTACTGGGTCACAGACAGAATTTGGTGTTGTGTTTTCCATGGTCAAGGAGGCTGAGACACCAAAAACACCATTTCAATTAAGTATGAATGAACTTGGGAAAACGTTATCTTATTTATCCGGTGCTATAATTGTAGTTATTGTCTTGATTGGAATTCTCCAAGGACGTGAATGGCTTGAAATGTTTACTATTGGAGGTCATTATTTTTATTTATATTTTGCTTTATGTTTTATGTAAATGCTTCAAAATTTATTTACTTTATTTATAGTAAGTTTGGCTGTGGCCGCTATTCCTGAAGGACTTCCAATTGTTGTCGCCGTAACCTTGGGTTTGGGGATTTTAAGAATGGCAAAAAAGCATGCAATTATAAAGAAGTTACCTTCTGTAGAAACTCTTGGATCCGTCAATGTGATTTGTGTTGATAAAACTGGTACCCTAACTGAAAATGTTATGACCGTCACAAAGATATTTACTTTAGACGAGGAAAATATTTTCGATTTGGAACATGGGTTACCCACAAAGACCAGTTCTGCTATGCGTGAAGTCCTTAAAATTGGTATGACATTTAACTAGTGCCAGAATTCATTTATAGTTATTTTAAATATTTATTATATTATAATATAGGTGGGGTATGTAATAATGCTAGCATTGATGAAAGGGGAAAGAAATATGGACAAGCAACGGATGTCGCTTTACTTGATGTTATAATAAAAATGAATATGGAAGATGATATAAAGGTATTTAAGTTCAAATACGTTTTCTGAAATACAACTAGATATTTCATTTTTAACTTTTGTTAACATGTTAGAACTTTTGCCGTAAATCCGAAATTCCTTTTAATTCCGATCAAAAATGGATGTCAGTGACTGGAAGACATGAAGGATCTCAGATAGATACAGTTTTCTTTAAAGGGTCCATTGAAGCAGTTTTGTCAAGATGTGTAACTTATTATGTATCTGAGACGCATAAGCCACCATTGGATAGTTATTCAAAAGAATTGGTGACGCGGCATGTCACATCAATGTCTTCTCATGGTCTTCGAATCCTTGGTATGGCATCTGGACCTGACATCACTAACCTTACCTTTGTAGGATTTGTGGCAATGTACGATCCACCAAGAAAAGGTTTTTGTCTTATATTTATTGCGATCATTTCCTTAAAAAAAATATTTGCAAACCATTAAATAGTTAATAACTTTATAATATAGGAGTTGATGACGCCATTCGACAATTAATTAGCGGTGGTGTTAAAGTTGTTATGATAACAGGAGATTCTGGTATTTTTTTTTCTTTACTTTCGATCCTTTTTTTATTTGATTTGTTTTGAAAGATTTAATCAATACTTTTTATTTTTATATTTTCGAATTAAAAGACCAAACTGCACTTTCAATTGCAATTAAATTGGGAATCCCAGTTAACCCTACATCAAAGTCAAGCTGTCTTACTGGAAGTGATATCGAAAAAATGAATGAAGAACAATTGAAAGATGTTATTGGTAATATTTCGGTTTTTGCAAGAACAGCACCTAAACATAAAATGGCAATAGTTCAGGCTCTACAGTCAAATGGTGCAATTGTGGCCATGACAGGAGACGGCGTAAACGATGCACCAGCTTTAAAAATAGCTGATATAGGTATTTCAATGGGTAAAAGTGGCACAGATGTTTCCAGAGAAGCCGCTGATATAATATTGATAAATGACGATTTCACGACTATTTTAGACGCAGTAAAAGAAGGTAAAATCACACACGTTTGATTAATTAATATATACGAAAGTTTGATCGTTAATAATTTTATTTTATATTTAATAGGAAAATCAATTTATTATAATATCCGAAATTTCTTAACATTCCAATTGAGCACTAGCATTGCAGCATTGACACTAATAACGATTTCTACAATTTCGGGATTACAAAATCCTTTAAATGCCATGCAGATTTTATGGATAAGTAAGTTGAAGATTTTCTTTTTTTTTTTTTCACTAGCTTTCGAAATTCGGTAAGTAACGTTATTAAAACACAACACATACATACGTACATCTATAGATATATTAATGGATGGTCCACCTGCACAATCCCTTGGAGTTGAGCCTGTTGATGAAGACGTAATGCGCCAACCACCCAGGAAAAAGAATGCACCAATACTTACTTCGGCATTAATTATGAGGGTGTTGACTTCGGCAGCTGTTATTGTTGCTGGTACATTATTTATATACGTTAAGGAAATGCGCGACGGTATTGTCACAGCTCGGGATACGACTATGGTAAGAATCCTTTACATTGTATTTGTTTAGGTTATACTTTCTCAATTATTAATTTGTATTTACTTAAATTATATAATATATACATATATGTCATTTGTGGATGATAATATAGACATTCACATGTTTTGTCTTATTTGACATGTTTAATGCTTTGAGTTGTCGTTCGGAGAAAAAATCAATTTTGGAATTGGGTTTATTTTCAAATACGATGTTTAATTTCGCAGTTCTTGGTTCATTGATCGGACAATTGTGTGTTATTTATATTCCATTTTTCCAAGCAATTTTTCAAACAGAAGCCCTAACTTTTTCAGATATGTTTTCGCTTATCTTATTGACATCATCAGTATTTTGGATCGATTCAATTCGTAAATATTATCAAAAACAAAAAAACAAATTAAAAGAAGAAAGCATAGAAATGAGAATGGTGTAAATATCAATATTTGTATTGAATGTATATGTAACAATAATTTAAATTTGTCATGTTTATTTCGTTAAACGAAATAGACCAATTATTATTTTTTTTTTAAAGGGATCATAGACAAGTATAGTAATTCTATAATTTTTAATTATTATGATATATCTAATACTTGTATACAACATAATAAATTTAAATATGTAATAATTAATTTAGTAATTTATAATAATAATCTTAGAAATGTTCATAAATTTAGAATACATTTTGAAATAATAAAAAGAGATTTATTTTTCAAATTTGAGGCTATTCATTTTCAACTTGTTCTAATTCGACCAAAACGCCACCACAATCCTTTGGATGCAAAAACACAACAGGATTACCATGAGCACCAATTTTTGGTTCGGGATCCAATGGTCTAACGCCTTTATCTAATAAGTCTTTAACAGCTTTACTTACATCATTAACTTCAATGCAAACATGATGTATACCTCCATTTTTATTTTTTTCTAAAAAATTTTTTATGGGAGATTTTTCACCATATGGGTGTAATAATTCGATTTTTGTATTACCCAAATTAACAAATACTGTATATACTCCATGTTCTGGTTGTGGCTAATTTTTAAAAATAATACCTTTCATTTAGATATTGAAAATATAATGAAGAAAAGATAATTGAAAAGAACCTACCACAGCCTCACTAACTTGTTCTACACCTAAAATATTCTTGTAAAAATTTACAGCATTATCAAGATTTGGTACTGCTATAGCAACATGATTTAAATTTCCTAATTTCCATAACGGATGATCCTTTAAAACATATCAAAAAAAAAAAAAAAACCATTTTCATTAGAAGAAATAAAAAATCACAAAAAAAAAAAGTGTCACGACATGATTATTTACCTTTGATATACCACTAATATTCGATCCTGCGGCAAAAGACGCCGAAGTAGAAAAGGATTTAATTAGATTCGTCCCAAGATGATCATTATGGTTATTAAATACACCAATAGTAGTGGTAATTCGAGATGTGTTTATAACATTAATAACATTAACGTTTTTTGTAAAGACATTTTTAAGTAAATGATACATTTTTCGTAAGAAGAATTCTTAAAATATTTAGATTAAAAAAAGAAAAGAAATTTTTGTTTGGAAAATAAAAATAAGGTAAAATTTATTTATTTCATTCACGTGATTTGCCATCGTACAGAAAGAATAAATTGTAACAAAATTTAGAAATCAGCCCACTTTTTTTTTTAAATGAAACGTGATGAGATATATTAATTTGATAAAACAACCACTTTGATAAATAGCAAAATATTATTTAAAGAAAAAATGAAAAGGTAATACATTAAACCAATAACTTTTTAATTTAAATTTTAATTTAATCTTAATTTCTCATCTCGCAATTCTTAGAACTCATGGACTTAAAAAGTTTATTTAACTTTATTGTCTAGGACACTTTTGGCTAGAGCTGAAACCATGCATGTGGTTATCTACCAAATAAGTATTGTATTATGGTTGATCAAACTAATTTAAACGCTTTTTACTTTTATTTTTAATATACAACTAAAAAGATTTTCTAATATTCTTTATCAGATTAAGTTTTTCTTATATTTCTCAAAGTTAAATATATTAACTAAATAAAATTTTTTTATAAATTCTGATAATATATATATGATATATCAGTTTAATAAAAAGTTATAAATAATTTTGATTTTATTTTTTTTAAATTATACATTTAATGTAAAAAGTATCACAAATTAAAATAAATTTAAATGTAGACAAATAATCAAATTATAAATGATTAGAAAATTTTATTAAATTATTATATATCTTTTAATCATTAATAAAGATACAATCATTTAAATGAATTCTAATAATAGATTAAATGCAAAAAGAACTGAAAATTTATTTAAATAAATAATAAATATTATATACTAAAACAAATTATAAAAACATATTAAATAATATTAAATAATTCAAAGAAAATTAATTGTATTTGCATCAAAAATTCTTAAAATAAATAATATTTTTTAGCTGATTGAGTACTTTTTAAAAGTATATATAAAATATACTAATTTAATCAATTATGAAATTGTTAAGAAATAATTAAATAAATAAACCTAAAGGTTTAGTAATTTATTTAATAATAAAAAGTAAATTATAAAATTATTGTATAAAATCTATATTTATAATATTTACAGATATATAATAATTTTTAGTTTGCATATATTATATAACCTAAATTATATATAATAAATTATTATTAAAAATAGATACATTATATATAAAAAGACAATTTTATATATAATTTTCTTATTTTAGTAATAATTTATTAGCTGATATATATAATTTTTAATATAAATTTATATACTGATTAAATTTATATTAAAAACCTTATTAAAATACAAAATTTAAAATTATATAAAAACTTATAAAAAATAGTAATAGCTAGTACTTAGCATAGATTTATTTTCGATTTACTTTGTATCTCTTTATATATAAATTTAATAAAGTTACTGACAGTGCTATATCGTTTAAAAAAAAAAAAATAGTAATTTTATAAATATTAACAAAAAATTAACAGAATTAAAAATTTATTATTTATTAAATTTAAAATAAATTTATATAAGTAATTTATTTAAAATTAATAAAGTTTAAATTGATTTTAAAGAAACATAATTTATTTCTTAAATCTAATCTATCTTAATATATAATAAAATTACTATTTATATATAAGGTATTTGAATATTATATAAAATATAAAAAAATAACAAATAATATTTTTAGAATAAAAATTTTCTTAAGTTCTTAAATTAATTAATAAATAAAATATAGTAAAATAGAATATAATATGATAAATTATAATTTAATATATATAATTAATATTAAAAATCTTAAATTAATATAATTTTATATAATAAATTTATATATCACATAATTTATATATATATATTCTATATTTACTAAAAAATATTTATATAAATATATTATATTTTAAATTAAAAAGTTTGCAAAAGTACTTTTAATAGATATTTATTTAATAAAAATCAAATAATAGTTTTTATATTATTTTTTTTAATACAGTTAACTCTTATTATAATGAACTTTATATCCTAGACCTCAACTTTACTATAAAGCTATAGTAAAGATTTTAAGAGATTTAATTAGTCAATTTATTATAATAAGAGTATTTTATTATAATTATTCAAAAAATTCATTATATTAAAAGTTCGTTATATCAAGAGTTACTGTATTTAATTTTAATTATATTATATTTAAAAATAATATTATAATTAGTTATAACCTTATGATGCTTATTTATTACTAATTATAATTAGTTATAACTCAATTTTTATTAATGTTTATAATTATTTACAACTCTATGATACTTATTTATTATCAATTACAACAAGTTGTAACACTATTTTTATTTATTTCTTATTTAATGAATTTATAAAAAACTATACAAAGTATTCTAATATCTAATTACTTAATATTAATAAATAAGTCAATAATAATTAATTTTTATAATAACATAAAAATCTAGATAAAGTAAATACTAATGTAAATTTTTTAGTCAAGATGATTTTAAATTTAATAATGATTTTATTCTCTAGTATTATAAAAATTTAATAAAAGTTAAAATTAATTCTGATTATTTATTATTTATTTTTTTAAATTATTTTTTTAATTAATTATAATTTTTTTATTTTAATTAATAAATATAATTTAATTTTCAATATTTAATTTTATCAAATTTATTTAATTAAATTTTTTTTTTTAAATTTAAACTGATTTTTTAATTTAATTTTTTAATCTTATTTAATATTTACAATTTTTTTTAATTTATTAATTTTAATTTAATTAATTTTTTATTTATCTATTAATTTTGATATTTAATTTAATTTTATTCTATATATATTAAATTTTTTAAATTAGTTTTATAAAAAATTTGCAAAATTCTTAAAAAATTATGAAATTTTTAAGGATTATAAAAAGTTGCAAATTCTTTTAAAGTATATAAAAATATTGTAAATTATCTCAAAAAATTTACAATAAAATTGTAGAATTTTACATATAAATTGTAAATTTTCTTTAAAATTTGTATATAATTAAAATAAATTTTTAGATTAATCTGAAATTTTCAATTTAGTTCAAATTTTTATCAGTTTATAGTTTAGATCAAATTTAAATTAGCATTTTTAAGATTAATAATCTAAATTAAATTGAACTAAATTTTAGATTACCTTATAATTTAAATTAAACTAAATTATTCAAAATATTATTAATAGTTATATATTTAATTATAAAAATATTAAAATAAAAGTTATTAATAAAAATTAAAATTATTAACTTTTAAATTATTATAAGAAATAGAAGAATAAACATATATTTAATGAGAAATAAATATTAATTTACAAGGACAAATTTTAATGCTTCAAATAATTTACTAATATAATAAAAACTAAATGATTACTAGTATTAAATTTAATTGCATTTATTTTTGTACAAATTAATCTTTATATAAATTAAGCATTTTTAATATAGATGAAATTATATAATTATAATTATAAGTTAAAGCCTATATAATTATTTTGAAATTGCAAATTCTAGAAATTAAATAATGCAGTTTATTAAAATCTAAGATAAATAAAAAAATACATTCTAATACTAGTTAATAATAGCTTTAAAGTAGAAAAATCTAACTATTAATATTTTAAATATATTACAAATTTAGATAAGCATAAAATATTAATAAAAAATAATTAAAAATCAATAGTTAATTATAGAAATTAACTTAAAAAAAATTTAAGTTATTAAATACATATAAAATTAAAATTTAAACATTTATATTAGAATGTATCAGAAATTATCTGATTTAAAAGATAGGTAAAATTAGTTTCATAATAATAATATTACATAATATATTTAATGTAATATGATTTAATCAGTTTTTTAATTTACTTATTATATCTTATTTAATATATTATATTATTTAAACTTAAAATTCTAATTATTATAATTATTATAAAGTTTTATTATTAGTCTAATTTATTAGTAATATTAAATAATTATTATATATAATATTAATTAATAATATTATATAATCGATAAATATAATAACATTATCATAAGACCAGATCAAGTAGATTATCTATTTAACATCATCATATGAGACCCATGACTGAGAAGAGATGAGGTTAATTAATAATAATAATATTTAAACATCATGTGATTTTTATTATATAGCTAACAACATGATCAAATACAATTTATTACTTTATTTTAATAATATTAAAATTATACTAAATGATAAGTTTATATTATTTAAATTGTATATATTAAGTTTGTTTGTTACATTTTTGATTCTAATATAAATTATTAGACTTTTTCTTTTTATCTCCAGTTTTCTTATTTGTTTTAATCTCAACTTTATAGAAAAAATCCTTTTCTTTTTCTAAATACCAACAATAATAAGGAAATACAAACTTGTAGTTAGATATCCTATTAATAGGAGGTTAACTAAATCACTATCAATTTCACACTAGTAATAGACTTGTAATTTTTGATTACTTTAATATAAAAAAGAAGAATAATAAGCTAATTCAATTAGTATCTCACAGGTAATATTTTCACAAATAAAGACTTTAGTGTAGAATTCATGATTCTCTTCAAATAATGAAAAATTACAGCTATGATTTATTTCTTTTTTTATAAAAATAACTCTTTTTTTCATTAATATCTAAAAGTTAATTATTGAAAACACAATGAAGTTTATTATATTAAAAGCATTTATTATTATTTATAAGAATAATACTAATGATAACTTTTATATTATTGATTAATATTTGGTATATACTCCTTTTGCATTGATACATACTTTAACCTAACTTGGCATGCTCTTAATACACTGAAGTAACATGTCATTATCAAGATCATCCTATTCTTATCAGATTGTATTAAGGAATATATCGCAGGTAATATTTTTTTTTGCTACTAAATACTTGATTTTTTTTTTATCTTTCCCTTTAATATATTTTATACATTTTCAATAGGGTTTAAGTCTAGGTTATATGAAGGCTAAGAAAGAACTTGTCTTGGAAAATGCTTTTTCAAGTTCCTCTGAATATTGTGTGAAGTGTATTTTAGATTATTATCTTGTTAAAAGATCTAACTGCGTCTGTATAATATATTTGCATACATAATGTGAAAGTGGGGGTTTAAAGACCAAAAGGTTCGTCCTCCACTGAAACATTATGTGTACAGGTCACAAAACGTTAAAAACAATATTGATTTTTTCTTATTATATTAGAAGAGTTTCTATCAGCTCTAGAATCTTAATTTTGATATTATATTTCTTATTTCTGTGTGGGTTTTTCAACTTCAGAAAGCATATCGATTTTTATTACTATATTAGAAAAGCTTTTAACAGCTCTAGAATCTTAATTTCTATAGCAACTTTTTAGTTATATTTATTAAATCTAACGAAAATTAATATATCAGGATATGAGTTAGCTCATTAAATATCATATAATCTACTTAAGTCTAACAAAAATAAGTCTAACAGTTCTTATTACCTCATAAATAAATCTAACCAAAAATTAAGTCTAACGAAAATAAGTCTAATAGTCTTTATTACCCCAAATAAATCTAATTGAAAATTAAGTCTAATGAAAATTCTTTATCAAGAACTGCTTTCACACCGACTAGCTCTTTAACTAGCATATTATTTTTATAAATCTAACAAAATTATTAAGTCTAACTGTTCCAATTCCCCAAAGTTTGTGATATTCTGTAAAATAAATATAACGAAAATTATTTATCAGAAACTGGCTCTACACCGGCTAGCTCTTTAACTAGTATATTATTTTTTAAAAATCTAATGAAAATATTAAGTCTAACTGTCCCAATTTCTCCCAGAATATGCTGTTCTGTAATATAAGTCTAACGAAAATTGTGAAATAAAGAAGAACTGGTTTTGGGCAGGCTAGCTCCGTAACTAGCATATTTTATATAAAAGTCTAATGAAAATAACTTCTGTAAAAATCCAGAAAAATCCGCGGAATTGTCCTAACTTTTTCTTAGTCAAGAACAGGTTCTGCACAAGATAGCTTAATAAATAGCATATAAATTAACAAAAAATTTAAGTTTAACGATTCCGTCCTGCCGGGAATTTTATAAGTCTAACGAAAAGTATATATTAGGAATTGACTTCATGCTGGCTAACTTCTTATCTAATACATAATTCATTTAAGTCTAACGATTCCGCCCTACCGTGAATTAATAAATCTAATAAAAAAATCAATATCCTTACTGTAAAAATCCAAAAAAAAATCCTTAATCAAGAACGGATTCTATACAAGCTGGCTCATTAAATAGCATATTAATCATAAAAGTTTAATGAAAAAATATAAGAAGTAAGTCTAACAAAAATTTGCCAGTATAGAGTTAGCCAAAGTCATTTTCCATTTATTCTGACCGGCAACTATCACAATATTTTCCCTCATCCATTTTTATCAGAAGGAGGCATTCCTGCAAAGAGTAATATTAAGAATTGCAAGCCTATCTCTTTAGGCGATCATTATTTACTCAAAAATGTCTTTTTGCATCTGTGATTGAAGCCTGATATAATGCTGGATAACATAATAGCCTCTAACATGTAGTGGCATTGGCCACAAGCAGAAGCTGTAGGCTTCCCACAATCAAAGCATGGTACTCGTTTCTTAGCTTTCCAATGAAACTGACATCCTTCAGGACAAATGTAAGGATTTTCACAAGCCTTTCCAGTATTGCAGAGAAATGGGCAGGAATATTCACTGATCATCCTATTTTTATCACTAAATATCGAAAGAATAATTAATAAATAGTTAATGCTTCAGTTTCAGGAAGATAGCTAGAACCGTTTTGGCAAGCCTGCAAACACCATCTTCACTGATCGAAAAGTGAAAGGAATAGGAAATAATTAATTAAAGAAAAAATTTTATAAGCAAGTAATAGCACAACGGTTAGAGCTAACTATATACCAAATGTCAGATGCATATCTTGATTATATCGAAGAAATAGTATAGAGATAGCTGATTTTAATTCAATTGGTCCTACTGTCCATATACCTTTACCTGAAACTATGCCAAAACGTAATAACGGAATTATTAATATTCAAAATAATGATGACTGGTATTTCAGATGGAGTGTCCTAGGAGTTTTGCATCCAGTTAAAGTTCATTTAGAAAGAAATCCACATCGGCTATATGGAGGTTTCATGAAGGAACTTAATATAAATGACATTCCAATTCCAGTACCAGTCTTAACACCAGTTTATAAAAAGTTCAAAGAAAATAATTTTGAAATCAGTCTATGTGTTTATGAATGGCATAACCAGAATGAGTGTCTTGAATTTCGCTATGTTTTAGAAAGAAGAGGAAAAGAATACAAGCAAGTAAATCTTCTAGTAATTACAGAAGATGATAGAAGCCATTACTGCATTATCAAAGATTTACATAAGCTGGTGTACAATCATAGCAAACATAAAGGGTGAAAATATATTTGTCGTTATTATCTTCATGTATATTCTTCAGAGATAAGATATAATGAATATTTACCAAAATGCAAGGGTCTAAATAATGCCCTTTAGCAATCACAAATGCCGATGAAAAATAGGAGTGTCAAAGCTTTCTATAATCATAAATGCATGCAACCAAATCTATATCACATTTTCTGGAATCTAGAAATGTTAACTGAAAAGTTAACTCCAGAAGAGAAAATAAAGTTAACCCATACAGATGCACAAGCCGTGTGGATACTACTACATAGTAGTTCGCATGAACAGTTCACTTAATTATGAGATAGTAAGTCATGATCTATATAGAGGCCCTGATGCCTTAAAAAAATTTATTGAAAGAATCGAAGGAGAGCTTCTAAATATTCAGACAGATTTATCTACACCTGCAAAAATAATAATGACATCAGGAGATCTTAAAGCATACAATAATGCCACAGAATATTGGATTTGCAAGGGATCTTTCTTAAAACCAGCACCAGAAGTACTACAAAAACTTAAAGAAGCAAAGCATAGATTATTAGAAGTTAAGGAATGGGAAACATGTATGGAAAAGGAGCATCCTGAAAAGAAGAAAGTGCAAAGGGCATATAAAGAAGCATTAGGCAGACTCAATCAAAAAGTAAAAGATTATGATCATATAAATAGAATGTACTGAGATCCAGCTCATGACTCATATAATAAAAAGTTGCACATAGGCTCTTTCAAAACCAAAGTGCCCTTTATCTATCATAATTTCTGGGAGTATGATTCTCATTCGCTCATGAAAGTTATTTCAAAATTTATAGCTGATAAACTAAATTGTATCCCCAAGAATATAGGAAAGTACAAAGCCATGAATGTAGGACAGTTTCAGTTCTTAGATAGCTTTCAGCATATGGGAATGGGGCTAGATAAATTAGTTAAATGTCTAGGTGGAAAAATTGAAAAATTCCCTCTAACTGTTAACTATTTTACTGAGAAAGGCTATTTAATGGACAAGATTAAGCTTCTTTTTCGAAAGGGCATCTTTCTATATAACTGGACAAATGTATGGGAAAAATTCGATAGAACAAGCCTTCCATCTAGAAAAGACTTCTATTCACTTCTTAGTTAGCAAAATATTAGTAAAGAGAATTACGAACATGCTAAAAAGGTATGGCAAGTATTCAAGATGAAAAACTTTGAAGAATATCATGACTTATATCTTGAAACAGACGTACTTTTGCTTACGAATGTTTTCATGAATTATATTATAATATATCTCAAAGATGATGGCCTAGATCTATCTCATTACGTCTCTGCATCTGAAATGTTTAATAATTCTTTGTACAAAAGTAGCGGAGCAGAACTTAAGCTCATGACAGATATGAATGAGTATCTGATGGTTGAAAATAGAATTCGTGAAAGAATGACAATGGTAAGTCATTGATATGCCAAATCAAATAATCTGCAATGTTTAGACTATGATCCTAGTAAACCGAAGTCTTAGACCTTATATGAGAATATGAATGCCTTATATTCAGAAGCAATGACCCAATATATACCTACAGAAATGTTGGGTAAAGTGAGTCCAGAGGAAGTACCAGATATCCAAAGTATCATGCCTGATGCAGAAATAGGCTATATGCTTGAACTTGATCTAGAAGCTCCAGTGCACTTGCACGATTACTTTGCAGATTATCCTTAGCACTAGAAAAGCAGATAATTCCAGAAGACTAGCTTAGCTTGTACAATGAAAGATTAGTATAAGATAAAGAAGTTGGAAATAGTAAATACATGTCTAGAGAGAAGTTAGTTCAGACTCTTTATCCTAAGAAAAATTATATAGTTCACTATTGAGCTCTTCAGACATATATGAAGTTTGGAATGAAGATTACAAAAATTCATAGCGCTATCAAGTTTAGGCAATCTCTATAGATAAAAGACTATATTGAGGAAAACATTCGCAAACGAAAAATAGCAAAGGCCAATGGAAATAAATTTGGGGTCATATATTATAAGCTAAAGAACAATACTGTCTTTGGTAAATAAATGAAAAACATTCGTAAACATATGAGAGTAGAATTACTTCGAACAGAAGAGGATAAAAAAATCAGACACCTAGCAAGTTCACCATTGTATGTAAGTTTTAAAGTATTCTAAGGGAAAATTACGGCAGTCCATATGTTAAAAAGCACAGTAACTCTAAACAAACCAATCTATGTAGGGCAGGCAATTCTTGACATTAGCAAGGCTATGATGTTCAACTTTTGGTACAGTTACATAAAGTCTCGCTATGGAGATAAGGTCCGTCTACTTTATACAGATACAGACTCACTCATAATGTGGATAGAAACTGAAGACATATATAAAGATCGAGCAGAAAGACCAGATATTTTCGATCTTAACTATTCAGGAGACTTATT